TGGGCATCAGGTGGAGAAGATACTTTGAGTTGGGCATTAGAAAGATCAGGTGAATATTCAGTCAAAACAACATATCATGCTCTTGTGACTCATGACGAGCATCGATCTCTAGAGGAAGGGGCGGCAGCAGGGACTTCATCATCAGATCTTCACCTTTGGTCTGCTCTATGGAAACTCAAGGTAATCCTGAGAGTTTGGGTCTTTTGATGGAGAGTTCTTCGAGGAATCCTACTATACTAATAACGCCGAAGCATCTCCATATTCAGTCTACTGCAAATCTGTGAAGTAATGGATGAAAACTATGATGCATGCTCTTGTATCATGTTCCCATGCTAAGAACTATTAGATGCAGCAAGAGAGGCCCTAGATGTTAAATTACCTTGCCTATATCCGGACACATGGGCTCGGGATATTGCGCTTGATGAAAGGTTCATTGATAAATACAGATGCAAAATCATAACGGTCATGCACACTATTTGGATGTCTCGTAACAATTGGACACATGAAAAGGAGCCTTTCGATCCAGTTCATGCGGTCAAAAGGGTAAGGTATGATCTCTCAATACTGGAAATGCCTCCGAGGGGGCAAGAAAAGCGACAAGGACAGTGCTGGAGACCCCCCGAACTGAGGTGGATAAAGATAAACACCGATGGGCCAATTGACTCTAATTCTCAGAATGGAGGTGGAGGAGGTGTAGCAAGATCGCGTCTCTCTTAGCAAGGAGCTTGAAGCAAACCCTTTCCAGGGTTACCGATCCATTTATAGCTGAAGTTTTGGCTTTGCAAGAAGGTGTTATATTTGCCCAGTTAATGGGCTTCTTGCATGTGATGATGGAGACAGACTGTTTAGAGGTTGTCAACCTCTGGCCTTCGTGGCACAATGATCGTTCAATTGTGGGGCCTATCTTCGAGGAAATAGGGGGAAAGGTCTTCAGTGTTTGCATCCTTCTCGGTTTGTCATGTTATGAGGGAAGCTAACACTCCAACAGATTTATGTGCAAAACACACAACTACTATTAGTAGCACTGATTGCTGGTTCGACGAAAGTCCGGGGTTTCTCGTTAGAACCCTTGTGGCTGATTGTAATCAAATTTCTGTAAAGCAATAAAGATCCCCGAGTTTTGAGTCAAAAAAATACTCCCCCTCCTCGAATTTCAGCTCGGGTGGACCTCTCACCATGAATCCCCCCAATCAAAAAAATCCCAGCTAAGGGCCTCTCCAACATGGACCCTCAAACCTTCTCTATCTGCCAGGACCGAGCGGTCCGGACCCAACAATCCATCCAACGACGTCTTGCATCGGTCTGAGGACCAGTTCGGATGACTATTTTCCCACAAACCGGAAGCAAACCAGGGGCTTTGCGGGAGTTCGGACACCATCCACGCAGGACTTCGACACCCTCGGTCCACCCAAAACTGGCAGAGCTCGCACATTTGGAATTATCCACAATATTTCTATGGCAAAATTGCCATGACTCAACCCTCTCCTGTACATCATCCAAGAGCTCGTGTCCAAGTATTGTAGCCATTTGAAGCAACTAATCGGACAGTGTACAAGTGGTGCACAAATCACCGAGCAAGTAGATTGTTATATGTGTTGGCCATTTGACTGGATATGCAACTTGTTGGCCGGAATGCCCTTAGTCTATGTCTGTCTATATAGGCTTTAAGGAAAAAAGGCAAGTAAATCCTAAGCCAAAATCAATGCTTTTAAGGAACTTCGACAGCTTGGCGAAGAAGGAGGCATGTGTCAGGCGCTCTGACGTCAAGGAGGAAAATTCAGGAGGTCTAATCGGCGACCGAGAAGAAGCTCCAGCTTAAAGAGAAGAAGGCCAAGCTCAAAAAGTAGAAGGTTGAGATTGCAACTGCTTCGGAGGATTTCAAAATGTTGACCTTGAAGATGGAGGGAATGCATGACGATGCAAGGATGATCGTGCAAGCCGTCAGTTTTTAGGATGTTGAAACGCTTGAAGGATCAAGCGGAGATGACGAAGAAGGAAGCGACGGAGAAGGAGGTGGATGGCAAGGGGGAGGCGACGACTACTAGGACAGCCTGTCCCACAGACTATCAGACGGAGATTCTTCTGTAATCGGGAATGTAAAAAATTTACACTACATACTTGTCTCCTTTTGGTTGTGATCAGATGTTGTGCATTTAAATTTCAAATTGATCGGACCTGTGTGAACGTTTATGTGATACAGTTGGATGGCCGGCTCTCGCATCACCGTTTGCCAGAGGCGGAGACAGGGGGCGAGCAGGGGCTAGACCCCTGCCAATCGCTCGCCCCCCCCCCCAACGATTTCTAGCAGGTAGTAGTATACTGTAGATGTGCTAATTGGCCGGAGATAATCACGTCATTAGCCCATATAAGATTTTTTTAGGGAAATTAGCCCATATAAGTACTAATATAATAACTATCCTAGACTGAAGCCCAATAGCCCATGTCATTGTCATGTGGTTGTGGCCTTTTGTTGATTGCCCCGTGCGATCGATTATTTGATCTTGTCCTTGCACTAGGTTCTAGGGCGTTGTTTGCAGCCGCCGCCCAGCCGCTGGCTGCCTGGCTGCCACTGCCGTTCCCGCTCAGGTAAGGCGCTCACCACGCCGCCGCCCTTACCCCATCGGATGCGTTGATCTGTCGTCTTTGTTCGCTGTTTGTCCAGTATCTAAGGACTAAGGCAGGAGGAGGAGGCTTCATTAGATCAGAGTTTTACCGGGAGAAACGAAGATTAAATAGAGGAAGGTACTAGTTGTACGTACTTCTAGCTATCAGTTATTATGAATTAAAATCCTACCATTTAGTATGGTGCGGTTAGTGTTGTCTATAAACTAGTATATTACTCTATTAATCACGATGATTGCATTAGGATGTTGGATCTGCACAATTTAGCAATGAACAAATGATCAAGGAAATTGGCTTTGCCGCACGTCCTTTCTACTTCACGCTCTTCCTGCACATTTTGTCAATCAATTCCAGATTAGATCAGAGGCGACGTCAGTGCGATCATGAGCTCGTTAATTCTCCTGCCAACTAGCCAAGGTTAGCACAACTAACAACTGCTTGCTCATCTCGATCAGTTCCCACCTTATACCTATCATATTTGTACATCAAATTTCAATTCTTTTAATTATGTGACTTGTGATGTCATTTTTATCATTTATATTTATCAAAAGAAAAGGGTCGCCAAACACCAGGAATATTATTTCAGCTTAATTGTTAGAGGGCATATTTTCAAAGTAAAACGAGAGACGACTTGCTTGAGCATTGCATGAAAACATGCTTTGAAAGGAATTCACAACTGAATTCTCTTCTAATGAAATTGTTAATATACTTTGAAAATCACCGAGATTATATAACTAATTTAAATGTAACTACCACATGTCTATACTCCGTAGCAATAAAGCGATATTTTTTTTCAAACTTTGCTTGGCCTCCTCTATGTCCAAATCCTGGTTCCGCCCCTGCCGTTTGCGGATTGGGTCTCACCGGTCGACATGTGAATACAATGTCTTATTTGGAGGTCAGCGCTAGAGATGCCCTAAGCATCTACGTTAGAGCATCTTCAACAAGCGCCCAACGCGCCACACGGTAAAAACGGATTTGGCGCGTGCCCATCGCCTGGTTTGGTGCGGCACGCAGCGTTTGCTCCAGCAGCCGCGCTGAAAAGCCGCGCGCGCGCAGCTCCAGCAGGCGCGGTAAAATGCAGCGCGCGCTCATTCTAAAATATTTTTTAAATTAAAATTACATAGATAAAAAAATGATACAAAGATATTTTACATCGGTGCAACTACTACGGCATAGATAGATAGATAGTTCGACATACATAGATAGATAGATACTACTACGGCATAGATAGATAGAAACTACTACGGCATACATAGATAGAAAACTACTCCAAGTCACTACCATCACCATCATCACTCTCGTCGGTGTCGTCCGAGGTTGAGAGCCATATGTCGTCCCAACGTTCATCGTCCGAGGTGAAGAACGACCTCCCACCTACGGAGACGATGTCGCACTGCTCGTTCGCCACTGCCTTCCGCTGACGCCGGTCCGCCTGCTCCGAGCGGCGCCTTGCCGTCCTCTCCGCCCAGTAGGCACGCTCAGCGTCGACGTCCTCTGGGTGGTGACGGCGCCACTCCGTCATGGCTCGCTCGCCCTCCTCGGCGACGAGGAGACGGCGCTGCCGCCGAGAATGGTCGGCACGATCCATGTCCGTGATGAGACGCGGCGGACGGGCGAGGCGCTGCGCCTCCTCGCGCGTGAAGACGTCCCGCAAATTCATCTGCGATCGGGGCCTCTCCAAGCGTCACGCCACCGCGTCGTACGCGCGGGCCGCCTCGCGCGCGCTCCGGAACGTCCCGAGGCCGAGCCGGACGTCGCCAGACCGTATCTCGGCGGAGTACCGGCCGTTGGGGCGCTCGCGGACGCCACGAAAGCCCGAAGCACCCCGGCGGCGCGGCGACATGGTGGCGCGATGGTGGCTCAGAAAGCGGCGAAGCGGCGAAGCAGCGAGGAGGAGGGCACGTGGCTGTTCTGTGCGCGTGGCGAAGCGCGAGACTTTATAGGCGCGCGTGAAGCGGCGTGCCAAATCTACCGCGCCGCGTGCCGCTTTCTCCCGCGCGCGCAAACGCTTCCCGCGCGCGGTAACCTCCCGCCACCGCTGGAGCGCGCGGAACCAATCGGCGCGCGCGAAAAACTGCTTTTACCGCGCGGGCACGCGTTTTGCCGCGCCTGTTGAAGATGCTCTTAACCCGTAAAATTCTGCCGTATGTGTGTCATTTCTCTTCCAATGCCGCGAAAGACCCAAGATCGTATTATTCATTTGGTGAGTCCATCCGGCACACACATACCACAGTTATACAGAACAGGACTTGACAAGTCAAGTGACAAACAGTACGGGCACCAAATTGCGGCTCGGCTCACACACTATCTTGTACACGAACGATCGTGCCCGTGCGCATGCACACGCCATCTCTCCAGCATTCCCCTCCCTTGCATCACTTGTATGGAACGGCGACCCTGTCCGGCCCGGACTTCATGTCCTCCCAGAGCAGATCGGACAACGCCAGCATAAGCTTCCCCACCTTCCCTGCATCACACGTACCAATTATAACCAACCAAACGCAACGATCCATGGACGCATGCTATCTTGTTCCAATAAACAATCGATCAGCTTTGACAGCGGGTGACGCTTACCGTCGCCGATGGGCTGGCCGTCCCACTCGACGATGGGCAGCACGGGCAGGCCGCTGCCGACGAAGGCCATCTCCACGGAGCGCTTGGCGTCGGCGGCGGTGATGTGCTGGGTGCTGACGCCCTTGAGCAGGCCGGCCTCGACGAGCTTCGGCGCCAGCGCCAGCATCCGCTTGGCGGTGCACCCGCTGAGGATCTTGTCGAACACCGGGAGCACGAGCTCGCCGCCCTGGGTGACGAAGGCGACGTTCACCATGGGGCCCTCGGCGACGTACCCCTGCTCGTCCACCCACACGGACGCGAACGCGCCGCGCTCCTCCGCGTCCATGATGGACAGCACGTTGGGCAGGTAGTTGACGTTCTTCATGGTGGCGAACAGCGGCGGCTTCATGGGCACCGACGTGGTCACGGCGCGCACGCCGTGGCGGCACTGCGCGTAGTCGGACGGGATGACGACGGCGTAGAAGGCCGGGCCGGGGCAGCCGCTGGAGGAGAGCAGGAAGTCGCCGGGGCCGGAGCTGAGCCAATACCGGATGGAGCCCTTCCGGCAGCCGGACGCCGCCGTCATCTGCACGAGGATGCTGCGCAGCGTGTCGCGCGGGAACGGGGTACCCACCTTGGCCTGCGCCGCGGAGCGCAGGAAGCGGTCGAGGTGCGTGTCGAGCTCGTAAAGGTGGCCGTCGAGGAGCATGGCCGTGTCGAAGACGCCGTGGCCGCGGTGGACCATGTGGTCGTCGATGGGGAGGGCCATCATGGCCGGGTCCAGGATGATCCCGCCCAAGAAGCTCGAGTACATGGCCGGGTACGGCGCCGCCGTGGACTTCCATTTCTCTTGCAGCTTCTGCAGGGCCTGTACGCGCGCCGAGATGGACAGCCATTGATCATTTGATCGTGCAAGCATATGTTAATCAACGCAAACAAAGTAAAAGAGTCATAGGCTCATAGCTGAGATCGACTTAATTGGTCCAACATAGTAGTCGTATTTTGGCTGTTTTGCATTTAGATAAATTTGTGCAAAGAAACCACAAAATAAAATATAAATAGTGTGTGTCTACTCATCATGCACAGTGAAAGGAGAAACAGATCAGGGAGTGGCATCAATAATGCGAGCTCCCGACAAAGTATACCGACGTCAAAAGTTGGTGGCAGTTCGTGCAATTTTAGTTGCGTGTCAGACATGTACTACACAGTACGTCAAAGGCCGATGCAGATCAAGAGCTTTTCTCTAGCTAGATTTGCTTGGCTCTATCACAAATTGAGGAGGGGGAGAAGGAACTCACATCTGCACCCGATTCGTAGACGGGGACTTCACCCTCACCTGACAGCAAAAACAAATCGAAGATCAGGTAAGCCAGTAGGGAGAATCCATGAGCCAGCCCAACAACCAGCTCACCGCAGCAAACCTCAGGATCGATCGGCTCAACGCACCTTGAACGTTGGAGCTCATGGTGATCTGATCTGATCTGATCCGATCCGATCCGTGAGAGAAGAACACGGCAAAGTAGAAGAGAGTGGCAGAAGAGTAGCTCGAGTGTAGTAGCAGTGCGAGTGGAGCACCTGCTCGCACTGAGGTTTTATAATCGGCCGGCCGGCCGGCCTGCTCGCTGCGCGCGGACGTGGCGTCGAATGGTCTAACAGAAAAGATAGGTAGAGGACAAAGGGGCGGGCAACGTGGGAGTGAGAGGGAGCGCGACAACTTCAGCCGGCCCGGCGGCCCCCCACCGCGGGCCGCCTGCCCTTGTTGTATCCCCTCGCGTTTTCTGCGTTTGTTCCGGGGCGGACAGCGCCGTGGCGACCGACTGCCCGGCCCTGCGGAGCCGATCGGTCAGATCTTCTCTTTCTCGTACGCGGTGGTAACGGCGATGGCCGGAGGTGCGACGCGTTCGCCGTCGCTCGCTGCCGGAAGAGAGCATAAACGACGGCCCACTCGCCATCGGACAGGGATCGGTGGATGTGTATCGCGGCGTTTCAACCACGAGGACGGCACGGGTGGCGGCGTTTACCGTGGAGTATGGATGGATGGATGGGAGCAACTGTACTGGCAGGCGGCGTAGCGAATTAGCGATACGGATGCGGATACGGGTGTATGATAGGCTTGGAAACCACCTCCTCAGACTAGCCACAATGGGTAGTAACATGGACTAGTAACATGCTCATGTTATTAGTCTACGTTACTATCTCTATAGTGGGGAGTAACATATGTGTGATAACATGGAACCCTTTATTTATTAGGCTATAGACACATTTTGCCTTCATATGTGTGATGGTACTCATACTAGTAGTAACGGAACGCCTCCTCTACCGTGCAGCGGGCACGGCAGGGATGCTACAGTATCCCGGGACAGTGTAAATACAGAAGGCACGGCAGGATGAACTGTAGCCGGAATTACTGTTTGCATACTGTAGCGGAATATACTGTTTCGGTTTCTGTAGCATTTGCACTGTTTGCACACTGTAGCAAATAGATCTGAGCCATTTATACTGCATCTAACAGCTGATAGATGCCCAAAGGCAGGGTACTGTAGCGTCCCTGCCGTGCTCACTGCACGGTAGAGGAGCCGGTTCCAGTAGTAACTAGCTATATTACTACTTTCATCTCTTTCTTCATTTATTGCATGCCACATCACCTATTTAACCTAGATATTTGTGATGTTACTACCTATGTTACTCCCATTGTGGGTAGTCTCAGGGTTTTCCGCACTCTGCAGGTATGATAGGATTGATGGTGAGCGGTGACTCGCCCGCATAGAGTGGCGACTGAGAGCATCTTCAGCCGCGCTCCTAACAAGGCTCCCCGGACGATTTTTCGGCCGCCTGTAACCACCAGACCTCAAACAGTTCGATCTTTGTACTTCAGTGTCATCCCTGGATCAGTAATGCTGACACGCAAATTATTTGAAGGATTTATAACAGAGTAGCAAGCACACATTTATTACATCGAATGTCTTCAAAAAGAACTTACTACAAATAATATGACTTAAGGCCATCTAATAATGATAACAGTGGAAGACTTGGAAGATAAGTGAGTCCATCAACTCCAACGGCATCAATGAGTATAGAACCATGACCTAAGGCACCTTACTCGTCGTCTGAAAAATTTGCAACATGAACGTTGCAGCCTGGAAACGGGTCAGCACATGAAATATGCTGACAATGTAACACATAGAGAGTAATGAACAGAACTGGGCTATACTACATGCATATATGACTGGTGGAAAACTCTATGGTTATAGTTTTGCGTAAAGCAAATTTTTCCCTACTGCAAAGGAATCAATTTTATTTAACTAACATGATGGTTGTTAAACATTGAGAGTGTAGACACCCTCTCAATCCCAATTAAGCATCATCATTAAAACCCAACAAAATTAATTAAAGTCACATAATGAGATTCACATGATAATCCAAGTACTACATACTCAAAACGTCCATAACCGGGGACACGGCTAATCATGATTAGTTTATACACTCTGCAGAGGTTTGCACACTTTTCCCCACAAGACTCGATCTCCTTCGTTGGGATTCTCGCACTACACGATGTTTGAGAAACGGATGACCGAGACATAGTCTTTCAGAAGCGCTAGCACCTTACGATCGGGTAGACCGTTACACCTACTTTCCCCTACATCTGCTAGTCTACCACTGTAATAATTCGCACAACTTAATCAACTATGCTAGAGCCCATAGTAGCCTGTGGCTGCACACGAAAGTTTCCAGTATGAATAATCTCATGATCCCTTTGAGTCTGGGTGGCGGTCCATAAAGAAAAACAGGCAATCGCTGGAATACCCAGATGCCTCAATCCACCCAGATGTGTGTTAAAGTTGGCACCTTAAGTAAACCATTAAATAATAATCTCACATCTGTCATGGATACACTCACCCAATTCACGTCTAGTAGTATAGCATGCCATAAGCAAACGTATAGGTAACTTCCAAAGGTTTAATAATAAGACAGGTAATAGGTACTACTCATCTACTTTCCAACCCACAATTTATTCAGATCATAACCATACAATTGTTTGAGGATTGATCTAATGCAATAAAACTGGGTAGTAAAGGGGTATAATCAAAGTGTTACTTGCCTTGCTGATGATCCGTGAAATCTAGATATTCAAAGTAGCAAGCGGCGCACTCCGGGTACTCTATCGCAAACAAACAAGTATACAAATAAGCACTCATCTAATGCACAGGTAAACTCAAATAAGAGATCTAACCAGAAAGTTCAACTTAAGAACTCCGGTTAGCAAAAAGAAAAAAATCGAACGAAACAACGAAAGTCAAATGGCGAAAGAAACAAGCTTGGTTTACTAATGTGGACTTAAGTCAAATTTTACAGAAGCAAAAACTTGTTTGAGTTGCTTAAATGGAAAGAGGGTTTCGAAACGAAACTCTAGGCGCTTGAATCGACTGATTCCGATAAACGAGTGAAGAGTTATACTAAAACGAAATTCGGATCAGAAATCGCGATCAGAAAAAATCGCGGAAAATCCGAGAAAAAGAAAAACTGACGTTCTTTAACTGAAACTAAATGGTGAACTCGTCCGTTAAAACGAACGAACGAGCGAACGCTCGCTAAATAAGTGAACCGAAAAAAAGCGATCTAAAATAAAAAACCTAGGGTTTTCAAAAAAACGTATCGGTTTTCTTCAGAAAACCGGCGGCGGACGGAGGCTACCTCGTCGGAAACCGGCGGAACTCGGGGCTCCGGCGGGGTGGGGTGGCTTCGGCGGCGGGTGGCGCGGGCGTCGCCGGCGGCGAGCGCGGCACGCAGCGGCGGCGACAGCACACGGCGACGGGCGGTACGACTGCGGCGGGAGGCGGGGCGGG